TGGAGCCGTTTGCTGGACCAGGCTTGTAGCCTGTCTAGGTCTCTTTGTAGTGCTGCCTGATCTTCGTCAAATTTAATTATCCTCATTAATTTCAAATCATCTGCAAATAGGGATAGTTCTGAGTGTATCCCTTCCGTCATGTCATTATCAAAAACTGCACAGGTCCTTGGACTGGCCCGCTCATTACATGCGCCCACTCTGACACATCGCCACGTACCATGCCTCATTGTTGCCTCCCTGTCAGATATTCTCTGATCCATTCAGTGCCTGTCCTATTATGCATGCTTAATCCTCTAGCTTTTGCAATAACCTCTTGTGAGGAACTGTGTTGAAGGCCTTCTTGATGTCCAAGAAAATTCAATCTGATCACCACTCTCTCTCGTGTCTTATTTCCGTTACACTGCCATAAAACTTCAGTAGGTTTATGACACAGGATATTCCTTCCCTGAAACCGTGTTGTTTGTCGTTTATAAGCTTATGTATTTCTAGGTGCTCCATCACTCTCCTCCTGATAATTTTCTCCCTGACTTTGCATACTTTACACGTCAGTGACACAGGTCTGTAGTTTAATGCTATGTGTCTGTCTCCTTTCTTAAAAACTGGGACTACATTTGCCATCTTCAATACCTCAGGCAGTTGCCCAGTTTCAACGGATGTGTCGAAGATTTTTATTAGTGGCACACACAACATCTCTGCTCCCACTCTAAAGACCCGTGGAGAGATGTTATCCCTTCCCATCGCCTTTGAGGTATCAAGTTGTCATAGCTTCTTCACCTACTCCTTGGTTGTGTTTATTTCATTCAGCACTTGCTGGTTTATTCCTTGTTGGTGAACCTCCCTATTCTGACTTCCTGGAGTCCTTCCTGTCTCCACTGTAAATACTACTTTAAATCTCATGTTGAGCTCTTCACATCGCTGTGGCACCACTCCTGATGCCCTGGTTGCACTTCCATTTTTTCTTCTCTTCTCTGTATTTATTATATTCACATTAACTGTGCTTTAAATATCACTTTAGGATTACACTATGCTATCGGGTGAACAATTTAAACGTTTATTGCACTCATTTGTTTCAGGAAAACGCTAGTCCCCAGAACACTGGATATTTTCTCTGATTTTTCTTTTCTTTCCCTCACTTTTTGGATTGTTTTATTTTTCATTAACTCATCTAGCCTTATCTCTTATCTCTCTGGCTTGGGCCACTCTTATTCTGTTGAATTTGCAGTTATTGGCTTGTGGCAATACCACCTACACCCAACACTAGGCGTGACTCTCTCTTCTGTCACTGATTCCAATTGCCTGATGTAAATTGTAGCCCTCACCTTTCTTTATTGTATTTCACTTCTCTGGTTGTTCACTGACACTGACAACTTTCAGTGATCTTGTAATGACCTTGGTGGGTCAAAAACCACTAAAGATTCACGAGCACTATATGATGCTGTTACTCCTGCCGGTGTGTGTGTGTGTGTGTGTATGTGTGTGTGTGTGTGTGTGTGTGTGTGTGTGTGTGTGTGTGTGTGTGTGTGTGTGTGTGTGTGTGTGTGTGTGTGTGTGTATGTGTGTGTGTTTTAATGTATTCACAGTTGAAAGTGGTTTAAGTAAATAACTGCGACTAGCCAGGAATTAGTTTCTTCGATGCCTTTGTCCACTAGGCCATCATGCTACAAACACCAGGGACCCAGTGACTGAGGATATTACAGGACTAATTTCATTCTTCTTCCGTTTGGAATACCAGTCTCACAAGCAATACACATTTTAAATGATCCAGCATGTTAAGTTGTCGAAATATGATGGTTTTGTATATATTTTTTTATTTTATTCAAGATTTAGATCGTAAAGAGAAAATTAGGTTAACACTCTTACAATTTAATATTAAAATTCATATAACACATTTGCCTTGATTGTTGAGGTTCAACCTCTGGCAGTGTCTTTAATAATATTATTGTTGAGGTTCAACCTCTGGCAGTGTCTTTAATAATATTATTGTTGAGGTTCAACCTCTGGCAGTGTCTTTAATAATATTATTGTTGAGGTTGAACCTCTGGCAGTGTCTTTAATAATATTATTGTTGAGGTTGAACCTCTGGCAGTGTCTTTAATAATATTATTGTTGAGGTTCAACCTCTGGCAGTGTCTTTAATAATATTTTTGTTGAGGTTCAACCTCTGGCAGTGTCTTTAATCATATTTTTGTTGAGGTTCAACCTCTGGCAGTGTCTTTAATAATATTATTGTTGAGGTTCAACCTCTGGCAGTGTCTTTAATAATATTTTTGTTGAGGTTCAACCTCTGGCAGTGTCTTTAATAATATTTTTGTTGAGGTTCAACCTCTGGCAGTGTCTTTAATAATATTATTGTTGAGGTTGAACCTCTGGCAGTGTCTTTAATAATATTTTTGTTGAGGTTCAACCTCTGGCAGTGTCTTTAATAATATTTTTGTTGAGGTTGAACCTCTGGCAGTGTCTTTAATAATATTTTTGTTGAGGTTCAACCTCTGGCAGTGTCTTTAATAATATTATTGTTGAGGTTCAACCTCTGGCAGTGTCTTTAATAGTATTATCGTTCCAGCAACCAAGGTACCAAATTTCTATAGACTGAATGTTTTGACAGAAGCGTTCCCTTGTTGGTCATTCACTTCATCAATATTTTTAGAAAAAAAAATGTGAATGAAAATAAATGTTTTTTCAGGGACCAGTGACACCCTATTTCTTTATGTACATCGAACAATTTCTGACTCCATCTCTGTATGCACATTAGCTGAATCTCGATCTTTCTTCAGAGTGGCCCAGTGGCCTGGTGGCTAAAGCTCCCGCTTCACACACGGAGGGCCCGGGTTCGATTCCCGGCGGGTAGAAACATTTCGACACGTTTCCTTACACCTGTTGTCCTGTTCACCTAGCAGCAAATAGGTACCTGGGTGTTAGTCGACTGGTGTGGGTCGCATCCTGGGGGACAAGATTAAGGACCCCAATGGAAATAAGTTAGACAGTCCTCGATGACGCACTGACTTTCTTGGGTTATCCTGGGTGGCTAACCCCCTGGGGTTAAAAATCCGAACGAAATCTTATCTTATCTTATCTTCATCACCGTCATCCTTCAAAATATTCCTCATTTGTTGGCCAGCAAATAATTCTAATCTTTAATTTCTCAGCACTGTCTTACGGAAATTTTTCAACAAGTTACTGAAACTCCTTGCAATTGTCCTAACCCATCGCTTTAACAAATATTTTTCACTGAACCCTGCCCAAAGTTGAGAGGCAGCAGGAAACTAATAGAAAACGTTCATGGGTCGTAAATGACTTAAGAAATCGTAATGACGCGACGGGCTGGAGTTTTGAGACTCTATGACCGCGGGTTCAATCCCGGCCGGGGGTATGGTTTATGGGTCGTAAATGATTCTTTGTGGCCAGTCTCGTCTGTTGTAATGTTCTCTCCAGCACGGCTGTCCTACAGGCAGTGGAAACAACAGTATACATCGAATTCTTTCTTCATACTCATTAACATAACAGTTACTTTGAGATCACACACTGATGAGTGCTGTACTGGGTTGCACCGAGAAATATGTAACATGCTTCTGTGAAAAGTTTTTGAAATGTTCACCGATATTGTGGCAAAGGCAGAATGTCGCTTAATAAACATTTCATCTCCGGTAGTAAAAAACATAACTTTCTTCTGAATTTAACGTTTATACCTAAAATGTGTCATAATGAAGACAGGTCTACCCACCTTATCCAGTCTCACATATATTATTATCCGATGCTTGTTCTTCTCGGAGGACCGAATTATAAGAACATAAGAATGGAGAAACACTGCAGTAGGCCTATTGGCCCATGCGAGGCAGGTCCTTAATAGTAACAATCATTACGGGTATGGCAGACGACAATGAAGTTTACCAATCATGCAATACATTCACCTTGTAGACAGCCAGAGCATTTCCAATAAATTTTCCCAAGAATCATCATGATGGTTCACTACTGAGATTAATTACGAATGAGCCACATATGTAACAGTAATTATCAGAGCGCTAAATATTACGTTGATTTCAATAGAACGGCTCGCAGCAAATGTTGTGAATTAAATTAGAAAAATGTATATCGGATTCCTACAAATTGCTCTACTAAAACTTAGATTATGATAATGCACCAAAAAAGTACAAACATATTATTACCAATTGAATTATACCCTAAGATACAGTATATACCACTAAATACAGAAGTTAATTAGCAGTCTTAATGATAAATACAAGACTTGATTCTGTCGACGACAGCCAGAGGCAAACTTAGGCTTTTCACGAGCAGTTGTTCATTGTTCCATCTGTATTACTTACCAGAATATAAGAGTTTCACCCTGATCAACATTCACATGTTTAGCCATAGAAATTAAAAAAAAAAAAAATCAAGAAAACTAAATGATGAATTTTGATACAAAATGTGATAGCTAATGAGATTTTTTATACTCATTACAACTCTTACAAGAAAATGACTTTGCATATAAAAGCCTGAAAACTATCACCTGTCTTATCTCGATTACTAAAAAAAAAAAAAAAGAACGTTTTGGTATCAGTATGAAAAAACTTATAGATCATCACATAAATATCTAATGAGCATTATTTGTTGCTCAATGTAATCACTATTAAGGCTACTTAAATAGGCTTCCATTTGTCTCACTTGACTTTTTAGGTGACAGTGAAATACTGTTTGTTATCAAGAGGAAAGTTTACAAGTTCAGGAATAAAGGTTTTTGTAGAGGCTCAACACTTTTGTTCAAAATATTGATATTGAAAATATAACTAATTAAAAATGATTCCCTTTTCCTTCTTGGCAAAATTTTCATACTGTTGAAAGGTACTCATACTTACAGATAAATTATATGTTCATTATATGGTTAAACTAATATCAGTGTTTATTAACTGTGACACAAATATAATAATAAGGTGAAGACAATCTTTAAGAAAAAATCTGTAGGCATTTGAGTCATGCTCATGGTTAACATTGTCTTATTACAGATTAAAGTAGGAGAGTACATGAGAGAAGGAACTACCTTAACGTTCGATGGTCACTGTGTTTCTGTCATCAAAAGGGAACACTTCCCACACTTTATTGTGTCATCTATACAGGTAAGTCCCAAGTGTTGTACATACAGTATGCATCAGTGTGTTACACCAGTGTTATTAATGTGTTAATATTTATATTTCTTTCCTTTTAAGATGAACAGTGGTTGCTAGCCTAATTTTCAGTCAGGCTTGGGGGGCTGGGAGTACGCAGATACTTCTAGATTGCCTTTCCAGCTTTCTTATCCTCCTCCATAGCATCAAACGAGTTCAAACAAATTCTTCAGGACAACCTTGGTAACTCTGCAGGAATACACGATCCTAGTTGCACCAGTGCCATTACTGAGTAGGAGACTCTCTGCTCCAGTGGCAAAACTTAGTGTGACACTGGCGTAAAAACAGATCTGGAAGTCTAAGAAAAAAAAATTGGCTTTTTAGGGGCGCCCAGGAATGTAACCTCCTTGCTAAACATCATGGCAGTTTTTAATACAAGTCGATTTCTTGTTGTCTGGCTATACACGACAGTTCATCTTATTCCAACCTGTTGGTAAAGTGGTGCAGGGTTCTTCTTTGACTTTCCTGCTGAGGAAAAAAGAGTAATTTTTTTTGTTTCACTCTCACTCGTATTGTAACAAACACTGTGGTGCAAGAAGAGGTGGCGTTACTGTGATCTGGTACACGCTGGTAGATGCACATACTTCTCATAAAATTGTTTATGCAGAAGCAAGAGACTCTATTAGCCCTCTGGAGGGTTGAGTCCCTCAAGTCCCTCAGGGGGCTGAGAGGGCTGATATCCCCTTTCTGGAGAATTTTCTTCACAGGGGGAAGGGGGCCAAAGTTCACTGCAGGTGAACTATTCATCTCTTAACATTAAATTGATTTTCTCACTCACCACCACTGCTCATTGTCTTTTCTTAACATCTGTGTGGTTTCTGGAGAATCACTAAGTTTTTTTTTTGTTTTTTTTATTCACCGGTACTCTCCGGCCCGGGTCTTTTCCAATAGTGGTGACCCGGCCTTGGCTCCCTGTCTGGGGAGTATCTCGAGACCTATGTCTCCCATGGGAGGAGGTACAAGTAACCCTTCATCTTTGAGACCAACTGTCCCCAGGCCTAGCCACAGTCCCCGCCCTCACGGGGCTCGTAGGGAGAAGGCAGGCCTCTCTGGTCCGCCATCTGCCCCGCCCCAAAGGGGCTCGTAGGAATGGCAGTCTTTTGAGCTGCAGGTGGTGGCAAGCTCAGGCTGTCTTTTTCTAAGTTTGTTTTCAACAATGTATAATTCTAAAGGTACTAGTTTATCTATTTATCTTTGCTCAAAACATCAACTGTCCTGATGGTTCCATTTGCATTAGGATATATGGTCACTATTTTTGCAAGAGGCCATTGAGACCTTGGACCATTATTGTCAATAATCACTATGTTACAAGATCTTAAGGACTCATGATTTCCAAGAACACCAGCTCCATAGAAGTGTTCTCTCAGTGAGGTAAGATAGTCTTCTCGCTAAATTTTCTCCGAACGTTTAATCACTTTATTAAGGTGTTTGAATTTACGTCTGAGTTGCTCAGGTTCGAAATAAGTAGGATCCTCTATGATTTCTTTATCATTCATGGGAGGAACAGGTTCGAGCCTTCTGCCATGGAGCAAATTAGATGGGCTTAACACTTCTAAATTGTCCAGATTATAGGTAACATAAGTTAGAAGTCTGTTGTTGATTCTGTTTTCTATTTCAGTTATGACTTCGAAATTCTTCAAAGTCGATTCGCTGACGATAAACAGTCTTCCTTGAACAACGTTATACGACGTTTATCATTCTTTCACGAAATCCGCTTTGCCATGGAGCCTTAGGAGGAAGGTGTCTCCAGCGATAACTGCGTTGATTCAGCATCTGTTGTACTTCTGACTGATCAATGATCTTGCTTATATAAGCAGCACCAGAAACAAAGTTCGTTGTATTGTCTGAAATCACAAGTCCGGGACATGCCCTCCTGGCTCCAAACCTTCTGAATAATTTGATAAAGGTTTCAGCAGACATGTCAGTAGCTACTTCTAGATGTACTGCTCTAGTTGTAGCACAAGTGAACAAACAGATGTACACCTTGATGGGAACTTTGTCAACGGTTTTAGTTAAAATTATTGATACAGTGTAATCTACACCTGTCACCTCAAATGGAGTGACATGACAGTCTCGCCCAGCGGGATATGGAGGTGGACCTGGATACTGACATACTCGCATATCATAGTGACGACAAGTAATACAGTCCTTTATTTGTTTTTTCACACTTTGTCGACCTTGAGGTATCCAGTAGGATTGTCGTATATGACAAAGTGTGTCAGCTACCCCACCATGTAACACGTTACTCTGGGCGTTTTGAACAATCAGTTTTGTTAGCCAATGATTCTTGGGGATCAATATTGGGTGTATGGCTTCTTTAGGTAGTGAAGAATTATGAATTCTTCCTCGATATCTTATAATCTTTTCTGAGACGAGATAAAGTCCTAAAGAATTAATCATGACAGGTTTCTATGGGGATTTATCCTGTGTTGCCAGAAATTTTTACTCAGTAGAAAAGACATCTTTCTGAATTTGTTTTACCCAGTGTTTAATGGGTCCAGGAATTTCATAATTAGGTTTCATCCCTTTAATGAATTTAAAGACAAGATCTGTAACTCTCAAGAGTTATGATATGAGTGTTTAGATCTATCAGTAAGTATTTCTGGTATGTCTGCTGTAAACAGATTATTTCTGCTGTGTTCAAGCAGACTGTTTCTTCTGGCATAATGTGAGCTTTTTGCTGAGGCCAGTTATTTTCATTAGAGAGCCAGTTCGGTCCGTGGAGCCATAATTTATTATCCACAAATTTCTTGAGTGGGACACCACGTGACAACATGTCAGCTGGATTCTCTTGGGTAGAGATGTGGAGAAAGAGATAATCTCTCTGCATCTCTCTTATTTCTGTTACTCTGTTCTGTACATAGACCAACTTACTGCTTTATTATCACTCCAAATCACGTTTTTTTTTTCAATAGATATGATCAAGTACTTTGTTGAGAGATTAAGACACATGTGCAACATCTGGGTATCTTTATTGTAGACGTTTCGCCATCCAGTGGCTTTATCAATACAAATTCTAGGACATAACTTGAAGACAGTAGAACTATGTACAGAAGATGAGGTAATCAGTCCCTCAACCTAGGAGTAGGTGCGAAGAGCACCATAGTCGTGGAGATTCTGAAGCAGAAGAAAGGAGCCTGGCGCTTATATAGTAACGTCAGGTGTAGCAGACGAGGGCATATTCACTGGTAGGCGGGATTCCCCAGTGGAAGTAGGTCCTTCCCAAAGAGATGGGTTAGTTGTAGTAGTAGTTGTCGTGGTCGTGAAGGTTATGTACATGTCCTCAGAATTAAGATTCCATGATGTTGCAGTGTCTGACAAGTTGTCTGACAAGTTGTGTACGACTACGGTGCTCTTCGTACCTACTCCTAGGTTGAGGGACTGATTACCTCATCTTCTGTACATAGTTCTACTGTCTTCAAGTTATGTCCTAGAATTTGTATTGATAAAGCCACTGGATGGCGAAACGTCTACAATAAAGATACCCAGATGTTGCACATGTGTCTTAATCTCATCTTGTCGGTATTATATACCATTCGTACACTACTTTGTTGAGGTAGACAGCTAATTTTGTACCTACATAGAGTGCTGTCAGTTCCAATTGTGATACTGTTCTGACCTTCAAGGGTGCGACCCTGGCCTTTGAAGTAATTAGTGTACTTCCTTCAGCATTACTCATGTAAGCTACAGCGCCATAACCTCTGATTGACGCATCACAGAACACATGTAATGTGTAATTGTTTCCCTCTTGACCTATTTGTCTGGGAAATTTAATTTGATGCAGTTGTTTGAACTCCTTGGATATTTCATCCCATGCTTGACTCGTTTGTAGAGGCAAGTTCTCATCCTAGCCTATTTTGAGCTTCCATGCATCTTGCATAAGCATTTTACTTTTTATGGTAATTGGTGAGACGAGTCCGAGAGGATCAAAACATTGTGATACCTCTGACAGTAAACTACGTTTAGTGAGTGTACTGCATGATTTATTGTTTATCCTTTTGAGACTCAAAGTATCTCCCTGTGTGTTCCAATTAAGTCCCAGCATATTGTTGCAATCAGGAATTTCAGCTTCATGGAAATCTTCTTTGATAAGTTCCCTTAATTGAGTTGATTTAGTATTCCACATCCATAAAGGCATATTTGCTTCTTTCATCTCCTTGTTAGCTTCTCTGTATAAGAATTTCAAATCCTCCTCTTTATTCACAGTACCTTGAAGATTGTCCACATTGAAACTTTTAGTTAAGGTTTCTATGAAGGGTCTTTCAGATTCTTCAGATGTGTTTCTAGAGTAGCTTCTAGCAAGAATGGATACGATATTGTACCAAACAAAACTGACTTGAAACGATATGTTTTCACAGGACTTTATAAGTAAGTAAGAAAGTTTATTCAGGTATACACAAATACAGTTACATAGAATTATCATACATAGCAACATATGTGTAGAGAACCTGGGATAACCCAAAAAAGTCAGACAGAGTGACTTATTTCCATTGGGGTCCTTTTACCTTATTATTATAATATCAAGGTTATAATATTTTCTTATTATTCTATTATAATATAGTATACTACACGAGGGTCATTAAGACTATCTACAATACGGGGGTCATTACTAGGAATAAGGTAAAATTTACACGTAAATTGACACGTAAAATTTACACGTAAATCATTTCCCTCCCTTTCTGTAGCTACATTCGTCAGACACCTTTTGGCACTCTTCTTGAACTGGTTCATGCTAAGACTGGCTTTGACATGTGCGGGCAGTCTGTTCCATTCCTTTATTGCTGTACAATAAAAGGTGTTTGAAGCCTGGCCACTGACTGTGGGTACTACAAAGTTGTGCTCCCTCCCCCTAGTACTATGATTGCTTTGGTTCCAAACCTTGACAAAATTGACAGCAAGATATTCTGGACACTGTTTGTGAGCAATTTTATAAACATGATTTAGCTTCAGTT